TTAATTTTTGATTGATTAATCATCTTGAGGTCTAATGATTTATCTTGATGTCTAATGATTGATTATCTTTCACTTGACTGATTCAATCGGTCAATAGCTCAAATTAATGCCTATAATTTACAGATTATTTTGGGTCTAAAACAAAAAAAATAAATAAATAAACGTTACTGGAGCTTTATCTGGAATGACTCAAAGATATTTTAATTGAAGAAACACGTAAGGAAATCAATCCAAAGAATTAATTTGTCCATTGTCTAATGCTTAATAATGTATCTTATTTTCTAAAATAGAGGGATAACAGTTCCCCTGTAAAAAAACGACAATTTTTGTTAATTAAAATAATGATTGGATTTTCTTTTTATTTTGTAAACCTAGAAATAAATTGAATAAACGACTGCTGGCATGGAAATAAAATATTTTCAATTTTACTAGAAGGCGCAGAAGTATATTGAATATTGTGTGCAAAGGAATCCGTGACTCTTTTGCTCGGAGCATGCTTCAGTTTGTAAAATACCATTATAAATTAAACCAGAATCAATTCTTAGCTTGAAAATATCAATTATTTTTTTCGCGAAAGTTATATTTATTGATCATAGAAAATATTAATTGCCAAAATGTAGCATTACTTTAAATTTATTTTAAAAATTATGGTATATTTTTTGTCAAAATACACATTAAATAACAACAATTTACAAGAATTTACAGTTGTTAGTTTGGCAGCACTGTCGCGTTAGTGTGGCTACACTGATTGATCGCAACATTAGTGCCGGGTGGGACCAGACATGCTCTGTCCTGTCATATTACATTTTGATAGAAAACACGTGATATTTATTATAACACTCATGTTTTCGGTTTTGCTTTACTATTGGTTTTATTTTTTTTCAGTAATATTTATGTTCTACAAACAATTATACCTTTTCTAATGATTGGTCAAACTGTTTTAGAAAAAGGTATGATAGCAACATCAACATTGATCAAACTTACAAATGTCAAGTTACATAGTTGTACATCAAGTTGTCATACAACTACTGTATAACGCCTAGCAAGCTACAACAGTTTATTTAATTTTCCATGTAAAAAACAAAGTTATTTTAAATTTACACTTTTTGATTTTTTCTGTAATCATTAGGTATACAAAACACTTCATCATACATAATTATTTTTTTAGCTTTACAAAATGGTTTGGAAAGAAATTGTAAAATTTTATGTTTTAGGGTGAAAACGGGAAAACCCCAATACAAATCTTTACCCCATAAGACCCCCCATAAACCACATACCATTATTCTGGTTCGTGAACTCGTTCAAATAAATTTAGGTTTACACGTTTATACTAAATTTCATCAAAATTGGATAATCTTTGCTCGAGTTATCGTGCTAACGGACGCATATATAAATATCTGTACATCAGTTTGAACAAAAGGTGTTTGTGGCTTCTGTGGTCTTCAAAATGATAAAATAAATCAGTCCCGGGTCCAGATCTCAACACGAGACCTACTGCAATAGCTCGATATGGGAAATTCGCTAAAGCACCCATACACTATGGAAATGTGTATAGTTAATACATGTTTGCTCCTTTTTCCTAATTTTGTCAGTGGTAAAATAGTATCAAACTACCTAAACGAAAATAAAACAAATTTGAATATTTTTTACGCCATTGTAACTATATGCGAATTCTGCCCTTTGAAACTATTGGATATCCTCGCTTTGTGACCTAAGGGCGAACATGAAAAGGTGTGTTTGTCAGCCGGGTATTCTGCCTTTGTACAAAATGTTAACCGATTAATTCGTAAATGTTTGTGTTTATTAAGAAAAAAAAACTAGAGTGCATTTTAACAACCGTAGAAGCATTAGTAACATTAAATGTTTAATAATATAGAAACAGCTTCAATAATTGCTACATGGTTTAAGTATTGTAATTGTAAAAAGAAACAAGAAATAAACCAGTCTAGGCTACCAAAAGACAGTTTCATTTCTCTCTACAAAGAACTTTCCTTCATCAAAGGCTGTACATGGGCCCATATATTTTGTCGTATTTTTGCTTTCAGTTGCAGACTTCTCAAGCTAATAATAATTAGTTAAATTAATTATTTAATATAAATTAGTTATTAATTAGTGGGGACATGAAATACCCATAGTCTTTCACATCTTGTTCATAAAAATGGATTTAAAGAGACAAATACATCTTCTTACTGTCATTTGAATAGTTTTACACTTGAACTGTACTTGTCTGTGGGCATATAAGATTTTATCAAAATGATATACCAAATACATACATTTCAGAGAGTAATAATAAACAACATAATAATAATAAATAATAATAATACATAAATAAACAATGAATAAATAAACATGTTAAATATGGATGCATGCCTTAAATACATTAAATTAATACTTCTTTCTGCATACAATTTATTAATAATAATTAACACTTATTGCGTTACTTTTAATTGCATTTGGATAATTGAGTACAAGTTTACTGTCTAAACCTACAAGTGACGGTAATTAGGTCGATCTAGTTTGCTTTGCATGGCCATTAGGCTAGCAATGTAATTAGTTAATTATTCTGTTGATTTAAACCAAACTGACGTTTAAGTTTCAGTTTTGAACAAAAGTGTTTGAACAAAGGGGTGTATAATTTGGGTGACATAGTCGGGTTATATATTTTTATGTATGCATGTAAAAAAATATGTAAAAGGTTACATATTTACTATAAATTACGAATTTCAGTTTGTCTGTTTATAATACATCATTAGACTAGTTTATTCATGTGTCACTGAATCAATAGGGTGTAGGCACTGTATTCCATGGTGTAGGCACTGAATTCCATGGTGTAGGCACTGTATTCCATGGTGTAGGCACTGTATTCCGGGGCATAGGCACTGTATTCCTTGGTGTAGGCACTGAATTCCATGGTGTAGGCACTAAATTCCATGGTGTAAACACTGAATTCCATGGTGTAGGCACTGTATTCCGGGGCATAGGCACTGTATTCCTTGGTGTAGGCACTGTATTCCATGGTGTAGGCACTGAATTCCATGGTGTAGGCACTGTATTCCATGGTGTAGGCACTGTATTCCATGGTGTAGGCACTGTATTCCATGGTGTAGGCACTGTATTCCATGGTGTAGGCACTGAATTCCATGGTGTAGGCACTGTATTCCATGGTGTAGGCACTGTATTCCATGGTGTAGGCACTGTATTCCATGGTGTAGGCACTGTATTCCGGGGCATAGGCACTGTATTCCTTGGTGTAGGCACTGTATTCCATGGTGTAGGCACTGAATTCCATGGTGTAGGCACTGTATTCCATGGTGTAGGCACTGTATTCCGGGGCATAGGCACTGTATTCCTTGGTGTAGGCACTGTATTCCATGGTGTAGGCACTGTATTCCATGGTGTAGGCACTGTATTCCGGGGCATAGGCACTGTATTCCTTGGTGTAGGCACTGTATTCCATGGTGTAGGCACTGTATTCCATGGTGTAGGCACTGTATTCCATGGTGTAGGCACTGTATTCCGGGGCATAGGCACTGTATTCCTTGGTGTAGGCACTGTATTCCATGGTGTAGGCACTGTATTCCATGGTGTAGGCACTGAATTCCATGGTGTAGGCACTGTATTCTATGGTGTAGGCACTGTATTCCATGGTGTAGGCACTGTATTCCGGGGCATAGGCACTGTATTCCTTGGTGTAGGCACTGTATTCCATGGTGTAGGCACTGTATTCCATGGTGTAGGCACTGTATTCCGGGGCATAGGCACTGTATTCCTTGGTGTAGGCACTGTATTCCATGGTGTAGGCACTGTATTCCATGGTGTAGGCACTGTATTCCATGGTGTAGGCACTGTATTCCGGGGCATAGGCACTGTATTCCATGGTGTAGGCACTGAATTCCATGGTGTAGGCACTGAATTCCATGGTGTAGGCACTGAATTCCATGGTGTAGGCACTGTATTCCATGGTGTAGGCACTGTATTCCATGGTGTAGGCACTGTATTCCGGGGCATAGGCACTGTATTCCTTGGTGTAGGCACTGTATTCCATGGTGTAGGCACTGTATTCCATGGTGTAGGCACTGTATTCCGGGGCATAGGCACTGTATTCCTTGGTGTAGGCACTGTATTCCATGGTGTAGGCACTGTATTCCGGGGCATAGGCACTGTATTCCATGGTGTAGGCACTGTATTCCATGGTGTAGGCACTGTATTCCATGGTGTAGGCACTGTATTCCATGGTGTAGGCACTGTATTCCATGGTGTAGGCACTGTATTCCGGGGCATAGGCACTGTATTCCATGGTGTAGGCACTGTATTCCATGGTGTATGCACTGAATTCCATGGTGTAGGCACTGAATTCCATGGTGTAGGCACTGTATTCCATGTTGTAGGCACTGTATTCCATGGTGTAGGCACTGTATTCCTTGGTGTAGGCACTGTATTCCAGGGCATAGGCACTGTATTCCTTGGTGTAGGCACTGTATTCCAGGGCGTAGACATTGTATTCAGGGCGTAGACATTGTATTCCAGGGCGTAGTACTGTATTTCAGGCCATAGCACTGTATTCCAGGGCATATACACTGTATTCCAGGCCGTAGCACTGTATTTCAGGGCGTAGGCATTGTATTCCAGGGCGTAGCACTGTATTTCAGGGCGTAGCACTGTATTTCAGGGCGTATGCACTGTATTCCAGGGCGTAGGCACTGTATTCCAAGACGTAGGCACTGTATTCAAGGGCATAGGAACTGTATTCCATGTTGTAGGCATTGTATTCCAGGGCGTAGCACTGTATTTCAGGACGTAGGGCCAATGTATTCTAGAGCGTAAGCACTGTTTTCCAAGGCGTAGGCCCTGCAATCCAGGGCGTAGACACAGTATTCCAGGGCGTAGGTACTGTTTTTCAGGGCATAGGTACTGTTTTTCAGGGCTTAGACGCTGTATTCCAGGCCGTAGCACTGTATTTTAGGGCGTAGGCATTGTTTTCCAGGGCGTAGCACTGTATTTCAGGGCTTAGCACTGTATTTCAGGGCGTAGGCACTGTATTCCAGGGCGTATTCACTGCATTCCATGGTGTAGGCACTGTAATCCAGGGCATAGGCACTGTATTCCATGGTGTAGGCACTGTATTCCAGGGCATATGCACTGTATTCCATGGTGTAGGCACTGTATTCCAGGGCATATGCACTGTATTCCATGGTGTAGGCACTGTATTCCAGGGCATATGCACTGTATTCCATGGTGTAGGCACTGTAATCCAGGGCATAGGCACTGTATTCCATGGTGTAGGCACTGTATTCCAGGGCATATGCACTGTATTCCATGGTGTAGGCACTGTATTCCAGGGCATATGCACTGTATTCCATGGTGTGGGCACTGTATTCCAGGACATAGGCACTGTATTCCATGGTGTAGGCACTGTATTCCAGGGCATATGCACTGTATTCCATAGTGTGGGCACTGTATTCCAGGACATAGGCACTGTATTCCATGGTGTAGGCACTGTATTCCAGGGCATAGGCACTGTATTCCATGGTGTAGGCACTGTATTCCAGGGCGTATTCACTGCATTCCATGGTGTAGGCACTGTAATCCAGGGCATAGGCACTGTATTCCATGGTGTAGGCACTGTATTCCAGGGCATATGCACTGTATTCCATGGTGTAGGCACTGTATTCCAGGGCATATGCACTGTATTCCATGGTGTAGGCACTGTATTCCAGGGCATATGCACTGTATTCCATGGTGTAGGCACTGTATTCCAGGGCATAGGCACTGTATTCCATGGTGTAGGCACTGTATTCCAGGGCATATGCACTGTATTCCAGGGCGTAGGCACTGTATTCCAGGGCGTAGGCACTGTATTCCAGGGCGTAGATAAGCAAACAAACCAAGTTGCATGAATGAGATGATAACTTTTTCATATCATATGGTTCTGTGGACTATTGTGGGTTCTTAATTACCCACAATCAAATATTCCAGTTTTGTGCCATGAGAAAAGTCTAGTTTTTGTTTTTCTTAATAGTGTATTCAAAAGAGAAGTAATAATTGATGGAAGAAGTGATAATTGATTGGTTAAAAGAGGACACTAACCTCTTTTTGTAAAAATAAATATAAAAATAAATTAAAAGATAGCAAAAACTATTCTTCAATTTTATTATCCAAAGATTGTTAACCAAAATCTTGGAGAAATGTATTAAAGAAAGTGTTGAAGGAAGAAGTAAATGGAGAAATACTTGTTTGTTATCCTTAATTAACAGCAACACGCACCTCTTCCATTAGAAGCCCACTTTTGTTTCATCTCGTTTGCCTTATGTAGCAAACAATACGTTACATGTGCTTTCCATAGTTATAACTTGTTATGTTTTACATTATGATAATAATGATTTTATTAGTTTAGATACCACAACACTAGTCATAAATTATGTTTATTTAGGTTATTACTTTTCATGGTATGTTAAAACTTTACTTTCTTGGATTATAACAGAGAATTCAATATTTAAAGTAGCCTATCAAACGGTGTTAATTGTTTTTAAAATAATTATAAAATCTTTATCATACCATGCATATGTATCTATAATACCTTGTATTTAAATCGTTAGTAAAACATAATAAGATACAAAATGTTACCGTAAAGATCCAATAAATTTAAACAGCAAGCAAGGTAAGAAGCACAAACAATCAAGGCTATATAGTTAGACACAGTTGTGCATGTTCTACGAATTGTAAGGAACTTATTCTTCCTTTACATTAAGTAGTTGATAATTTACTGTTTAGGTCAAGGCTAAAGTGCAATAAAAGTAGGTTACTGTAACAAGTAAAGTGCATGTGCAAAGTACAGAGTAAGGATATTTATGACTCTGCAGTGCAGATCTTGGCGTACAAATATTACGAAACCTCAAATATAGTTATAATGGACGGTGTATTAAAATTATTGGCATTTAGATCCATACTGGGGACCAACTACACAATGTAGTGGATGAAGCCAATATATTCATCTATAAGAATAAATGCAAACCCCTCCTAACCACTTACCCATCATTTTAAATCAAATCAAATCAAATCCATTTATTGCCATCAACATTATAAATACATGTATAGCAACGTCATACAGTTTTCATCATAATATATCCATTAACCTACTTAATATGTTCTACAAATTCAAATACAAAAATTACAAACAAAAAGAACTCACCGAACCGTAATTATTGGTAAAGAGATTCCACCTAAGATAAAGTTATCCAATAATAGGCGTTTCCAAGAAATTTAATTCGGGATCTGCGCTTAGCGTCTTTTACATTTCCAATGTTGTTTGAGTAGTCGAAATATTTGCTTATATTTGGTTGGAAAGATAATTTTAAATTGGCAGCACTATTTTAGAACCTTTCAATTTCACATTAACAACATGAACATTTTACATGGAACCAAATGCATATCAGCATTATTAATACACAGTGTTAAAGATTTTACCTAGAACCGTTTCCAAACTATCCGTTTCAGTTCAGTTCTTAGGATTGAAAAGATTCACTTAACAGTATTGTTTACTTCCTTAAAAGCATCGGTTTACTTAACAACACAAATAATAGACCAATTTGGTTCAAGAATTGAGAGAAAAGATGTAAAATTGTATTTCCCTAAACTTAAACTAATCAACTGTTAATACCAATTTAATTTTTAACTAGTTGTGCATCACTTAAAACTTATTGGGTTTGCTTTTTCTTTACAATTTTGTTTGTCCTAAGACGCTAGACAAGAGCCCGGAATTTTTTTCATATTACTTCAGGCAAGCACTTGGAACAAATCCATTGGTAATTTGGCGAGATTTGAACCCGGGACCTTAGGGAAAGAAGTCCCGCACTAAAACCACTAGATCACCTCGTTCCTCTGGTTTTTCTTCAACATTGTATTAACGAAACATACAAAAAGAACTTAAGCCTTTTTTAAGTTATTGGGCTTCTTTTCCTATATATGATAAATTAAAAGTCGTATTTAACGTATTTATAACTGTGAACTGTTACATATTAGTTTAGATGCACTGTAAACAGTTAAATGACCAGAACTTAAATAATATCTTCCAAGTCCTGACCGTTCTGCAAAATCACTATGTAAACTATGTTACCTTACAATGTTTTACCTGAATGAATCGATCAAATTTCAGCTTCCTAGCTAGTCAGGAAACCGGAAAATTAGTGATGATTCTGACAGTCATCGAGGGCTATGACTTTCATATGTTTTGATAATGAAACCGTTTTTGAAATATCATTTCAACGTGTATAAAGATGTAGTTTGGAATTTATTTTAAATAATAAGCCTAAATAAAAAAAGAGTCACATACGAAACGTGTTATTTGTTTCCAGTTTTACTCCTCTTTCTAGTCATTATATCTTAAACAAACCTCAAATCCTAAAAGAGAAAAATAGCGTTAACCCTAATAATTACAGCCAATTCAAAAGCCTTAGTTTATTAAGCACTAAAGGCCGCTTCATTAGTCTTCTTTTATCTTCTTAATTTACTTCTAGGTCTTTGTGAGTATCTTTTTATGAGGGAAACCTACTCTAAGCCCGGGGCCTCGTTTTTACTCATAAAATTCAGTATCAACTAATTACTTATTTATGTGGTCTTCTGGGTACAATGAGTTAACGGTATAGATTTATTAAGAAAAGCAGGACATTGGTAAGTGCAGGGATAAAAAAGTGAGGATAGCTGTTATAGAATCAACTATGTGCGGTTTAATCTTTGACGAAGTACAGAGGAGGAAAATTAAAATAATTTGCAAATAAACGGTATCAGCAATCTGACACATACTTTCTCCCAATAGCTTGTCGACAACCTTTATAATGGGTAAACGATGAGAGTAACTATGATATTTAGGTAAAATCACAAAAGTTGCATTCACTTTTGAACCGTAATTTTACAAGAATCGGTGATCAATCATATTGTTCAAGATATAAAGGCTACAACAAACTAAATCTTTATCAAAACCGTTCCGACCATTTTGTGAGGAAAATGCTATTATTCCGTTATTTTATGGGTTTATATGAAAAAAAATACCATTAAAAAAATAAACGTCTTGAGTTAACATAGATTAGTACCGGTACCTACATACCAAACTTAATCCAAAATTGGATAACAGGTGTGGTCTGTAGCTCCATACACATCCACACATACAGACACACACATACACGGACAGACATCGCTTCGAAAACAACTTTTGGGGTTCAGGGGGGCCCAAAATGGACAGGGGAGAAGTAAAACATGTTCATACCAGTAATAATAGATTGTATATATCTTAACAGTTTTTAGTCACACCTAAAAATACACAAAAGAAATGACAATGATTTCTTTTAGTTATATTCTTTATAGGTAGATTTATTACTCAAAACATGAAAAATGGGAAAACTCATATTTAAATGTAAATTACGTATATAGAGTTTTCAGGTTAACGAGGGAAAATTATTACATTCAAATCATTGTTTAAGTAATATGAGGACATATAAAAAAAGGTTTATATTTTACAAACTCATATTTTTCAAACAACTCTACAAAGATATCGCCGACTAAAAAAGTGATCTGGTATAAATAGAGCAGATGAAAGGAAATGCTTACAATACACCGTCTCCACGACAACAATACGTTACAATACACAAAGAAATACGAGCTCAGTATTATCTTAGGTTGATCACTCTTACATTTACCTTATGGTGGATTACCTATTATGTGAGCAAAACAATGCAATTTATTTTCAACTTGTAAAAATTAAACAAATCAGAATTAGTTTTGTCTAATATTATCAAACAATACAACACAGATCACACTGTCATTGAAATCCAGATCTAAATATTAGGTTTAAATTATTAGTATAACAACTTAATACTATACAAGATCAATAACTATGAAAAAAAAAAAAAAAAAAAAAACACTATCATATCATATTAAATCTACTAATCCATGCGTTACCTATACATAGAATCTAGGAATCTATTTGTAAGGCGAAACAAATCCAACGAAACTCCACTGTATAAAAAATATAATGGAAAGTATTAAATTGAAAAACAATTAGACTAACTTCAACTTCAACTTAACAATTTGTATTGGAATCAGAATTAATAAGGGTTTACTCGATAAATATATGATATTTTAATACAAAATATATTTTTTACCACCTTATAAACAATTATTTATTCCCATTAATAGTAGAAATGTTTATAAATACACCACAACCAAGATAACAAGACTGCAATGAGTAGGAAAGGAATTGCTATTTAATATTGTACAAATCTTTCTTGCATCAATCCCATGTGATACCAAGATCTCAGTAAAGAAATGAAGGAGTAAATATTTTAAAGCCACTCGAGCTGTACATTTCTCAAGGGGTTTGTATTAAAGCTATGTCGAATTAACCGTAATTATTATATTCAACTTATCGTGCCACATGTATCATAGTTATTTAGTTCTTGATTGGTACTAAATAAGTTAGTAGTTAGTGCTATCCTCCATTGGGAAGCGAGATGGTCTAGTGATAGAGCTCGGAGCATCGGTTCCCGAGGTTCCGGGTTCAAATCACGCCAATCACCAATGAATTTCATCAATGCGATTATGACACAACCGACTAGGACTAGCCTGAAGTAATGTGGAAAACAGTTCTGTTAAAGAACCTAGCGTCCTAAAATTACTTGCTTATGTAAATTACGATTACAAGCCTTCAGAATATTTCTAACAAAGACAAAATAATGAAGAAACTTATGATATACTATAATTTATTAAGTTGTCTATTAAGAGAATAACTATAACAGAAATGTGAAGTTATTAGATAAGACTTTCTGTTAAACCCTAATGGTTTTATTCATACGTGTAATTTTTACTGTATGATAGTAATAAAAATACAATGTTTTGACGTGCTATAAATAGTAAATTTAGCACAAAA